CTTCGGTGATCAGGCAGCCGGCCCCGTAGATGCCGGTGGGGTGGAACTGGACAAACTCCAAGTCCTGGCAGGGCAGGCCGGCCCGGGTCACCATGGCGTTCCCATCCCCCGTGCAGGTGTGCGCCGAGGTGCAGCTGAAGAAGGTGCGGCCGTAGCCGCCGGTGGCGATGACGGTGTTCTTGGCGCGGAAGCGGTGAATGGACCCGTCCTCCATGCACAGGGCGATGACGCCGCGGCATTCACCGTCTTCCATCAGGAGGTCCAAGGCGAAGTATTCCACGAAGAAGCTGGTGTCGTAGCGGAGGGATCGGCCGTACAAGGTGTGGAGTAGGGAGTGTCCCGTACGATCGGCCACACAGCAGCAGCGATGGGCCTGGCCCCCCTTGCCGTATTTCAGGCTCTGACCTCCGAAGGCGCGTTGGTAGATCTGACCGCGCTCCGTGCGGCTGAACGGCATGCCGTAATTCTCCAGCTCGATGACGGAGGCCGGAGCCTGCTCCGTCATGTAATGGATGGCGTCCTGATCTCCCAGCCAATCAGAACCCTTCACCGTGTCGTAGAAGTGCCAGCGCCAGTCGTCGTCCTCCATGTTCCCCAGCGCCGCGTTGATTCCTCCCTGGGCCGCCACCGTGTGAGATCTGGTGGGGAAGAGCTTGGTGATGCAGGCCGTGTTAAACCCGGCTTCCGATAGCCCGAAGGCTGCCCGTAACCCGGCACCGCCGGCCCCGACCACCAGGGCGTCGAACTCGTGATCCACCACCGGGTACTGAGCCGAGATCGATTCCGACACTCGGGCCGATCTCCGGCCGGACACGTCGAAGTGGAAGGCCCGGCATAGCGGAGCAGAGGAGGCCAGGCGCTGGATGTTGCGTGAGGTGATCAGCCTTCTCCAACCGAGACCCGCTGCTGACAGGACCGACATGGTCAGGACACCGCGACCTCCGTTCCGCTACCCGAGGACTTCCGGGAATAGATAACCACCGGCATCTGACAGGATGCGGAAATGACGTCGCTACAGGTGGGCGGAGACTAAATCGAGTCCACAGAGAGTTTGGAAATAGCGAAGTGTAACCTAACTTTATAAATTATACACCGAAAACCCGATAATATTGTTATAAAAATCCTGTAACGTGTCCTCGTTCTTTCAATAACGTGACGGTAATACTCTATAGTTTCCTGGGCTCCAAGGGGGGGAGGGGGGGGGCGGAGACTACGTCACTCAAGCGGCTCTATTACTTAAGTTGGGCGGGGCTGGTAGTGGGCGTGTCAGTGGGCTGGTCTATCATTCAACCTGGGCGGTGAAAATGTCAGCGTTCTAGTCTAATATTTTGGCCAGATGAGGGGGCGTGTCAGGCGGCTGGCCTATCACTATAGCAGGGGGCGCGTCAGTGAGCTGGCCTATCACTATACAGCCTGATGGCGTTTCATAATATCGCGAAATAGTCACGAGGGAGGGGGAGGGGTCAGATGGTGACGTGGCAGCAATGTCAGTGGTAGAGAATGTAACACCGGCGGGGGTTGGGGGTCGGTGTCGGGGAAGTGGTATGGGGGTCGGTGTCAGGGGTATGAGGGCAAATATGACTATTGTTACCCCACTGTACACATTATTATACATAGGGGGAGGGGTATATGGTGGGGGAGGGGTTACAAGGAATAGATTGGGGGTATACCTGTACATTGGTAGGAGGTTGTGTGAAGTTATTGGGGTGCACCGATGCAGTTAAAGGGGAACTCCCCCTTAAAATATAAACAATGAATGCGGCACGCTGTGTACGTGTCACGCGCCGTTCTGTGACGTCATCACAAACTGTAACGCTGCAACCGCTGTAATCTTCTACATCTCACAAATACAATATGGCGACCTGGAGGCGTCCTGTACACCGGCCCCCAGATATGTCACTTCCTGCTCAGTGATTGGCTGACAGATTCTCCCAGAAGTCTCCCTGAGATACAAGTATTTCAGACTTCCTGTACAACGAAAGTCATTGTGGTGAGATGTTCCCTTAAGGGATGCCGACACCGCACCTTCCCTCATCCCATCACCTGATGAACACAGACCCCTCCCACACAGGGATCAGACCCCTCCCATCCAGGAATCAGACCCCTCCCGTTCAAAAATCACACCCCTCCCATTCAGGAATCGGACCCCTCCCATACAGGAATCAGACCCCTCCCATACAGGAATCAGACCCCTCCCGTTCAAAAATCACACCCCTCCCATTCAGGAATCAGACCCCTCCCATACAGGAATCAGACCCCTCCCGTTCGGGAATCACACCCTCCCATTCAGGAATCAAACCCCTCCCATTCAGGAATCAGACCCTCCCATTCAGGAATCAGACCCCTCCCATTCAGGAATCAGACCCCTCCCATTCAGGAATCAGACCCCTCCCATTCAGGAATCAGACCCCTCCCATTCAGGAATCAGACCCCTCCCATTCAGGAATCAGACCCCTCCCATTCAGGAATCAGACCCCTCCCATTCAGGAATCAGACCCCTCCCATTCAGGAATCAGACCCCTCCCATTCAGGAATCAGACCCCTCCCATTCAGGAATCAGACCCCTCCCATTCAGGAATCAGACCCCTCCCATTCAGGAATCAGACCCCTCCCATTCAGGAATCAGACCCCTCCCATTCAGGAATCAGACCCCTCCCATTCAGGAATCAGACCCCTCCCATTCAGGAATCAGACCCCTCCCATTCAGGAATCAGACCCCTCCCATTCAGGAATCAGACCCCTCCCATTCAGGAATCAGACCCCTCCCATTCAGGAATCAGACCCCTCCCATTCAGGAATCAGACCCCTCCCATTCAGGAATCAGACCCCTCCCATTCAGGAATCAGACCCCTCCCATTCAGGAATCAGACCCCTCCCATTCAGGAATCAGACCCCTCCCATTCAGGAATCAGACCCCTCCCATTCAGGAATCAGACCCCTCCCATTCAGGAATCAGACCCCTCCCATTCAGGAATCAGACCCCTCCCATTCAGGAATCAGACCCCTCCCATTCAGGAATCAGACCCCTCCCATTCAGGAATCAGACCCCTCCCATTCAGGAATCAGACCCCTCCCATTCAGGAATCAGACCCCTCCCATTCAGGAATCAGACCCCTCCCATTCAGGAATCAGACCCCTCCCATTCAGGAATCAGACCCCTCCCATTCAGGAATCAGACCCCTCCCATTCAGGAATCAGACCCCTCCCATTCAGGAATCAGACCCCTCCCATTCAGGAATCAGACCCCTCCCATTCAGGAATCAGACCCCTCCCATTCAGGAATCAGACCCCTCCCATTCAGGAATCAGACCCCTCCCATTCAGGAATCAGACCCCTCCCATTCAGGAATCAGACCCCTCCCATTCAGGAATCAGACCCCTCCCATTCAGGAATCAGACCCCTCCCATTCAGGAATCAGACCCCTCCCATTCAGGAATCAGACCCCTCCCATTCAGGAATCAGACCCCTCCCATTCAGGAATCAGACCCCTCCCATTCAGGAATCAGACCCCTCCCATTCAGGAATCAGACCCCTCCCATTCAGGAATCAGACCCCTCCCATTCAGGAATCAGACCCCTCCCATTCAGGAATCAGACCCCTCCCATTCAGGAATCAGACCCCTCCCATTCAGGAATCAGACCCCTCCCATTCAGGAATCAGACCCCCTCCCATTCGGGAATCAGACCCCTCCCATTCAGGAATCAGACCCACTCCCCTCCAGAAATCAGACCCCTCCCATACAGGAATCAAACCCCTCCCATTTAGGAATCAGACCCCTCCCATACAGGAATCAGACCCACTCCCCTCCAGGAATCAGACCCCTCCCATACAGGAATCACACCCCTCCCATACAGGAATCAAACCCCTTCCATTTAGGAATCAGACCCCCCTCCCCTTCAGGAATCAGACCCCCTCCCATTCGGGAATCAGACCCCTCCCATTCGGGAATCAGACCCCCCTCCCATTCGGGAATCAGACCCCCCCCATTCGGGATACCCCTCCCATTCGGGAATCAGACCCCCCTCCCATTCGGGAATCAGACCCCTCCCATTCGGGAATCAGACCCCTCCCATTCGGGAATCAGACCCCTCCCATTCAGGAATCAGACCCTCTCATTCAAAAATAACACCCTGACCCTCCCGTTCAGGACTAAGACACCTCACATCCAGAAATCAGACCCCTCCTATTCAAAAATAACACCCCCTCCCATCCAGGAATCAGACCCCTCCCATCCAGGACTAAGACACCTCCCATTGAGGAATCAGACCCCTCCCGTTCAGGACTAAGACACCTCCCATTGAGGAATCAGACCCCTCCCATTCAGGAATCAGACCCTCCCATTCAGTACTAAGATACCTCCCATTGAGGAATCAGACCCCTCCCATTCAGGAATCAGACCCTCCCATTTAGGAATCAGACCCTCCCATACAGGAATCAGACACCTCCCATACAGGAATCAGACACCTCCAATTGAGGAATCAGACCCCTCCCATCCAGGAATCACCCCCTCCCATCCAGGACTAAGACACCTCCAATTGAGGAATCAGACCCCTCCCATCCAGGAATCAGACCCTCCCATACAGGACTAAGACACCTCCCATTGAGGAATCAGACCCCCCCATACAGGACTAAGACACCTCACATTGAGGAATCAGACTCTCCCATACAGGACTAAGACACCTCCCATTGAGGAATCAGACCCCTCCCAAGGCTGGATGACACCCGGAGCGGTAACCGAATGTCACCCTGCCGAGACGTCACCGTGCATGCGCGGCAGTATTCTGATACCTGCCGGCGGCCATCTTGGTGATGGACGCCGGCAGAGAGAGGAGGGGACAGTCACCCGGCAGGATAAGGTATGGCGCCGGGTCCCCTCCTCTCTCTCTCCTGATACTGTCAGGCGTTCGGTCCATGACCAAGCGCCCGACTTTTCAGAGAGGGGTGAGACAAAAATGACTGTCAGTCATTTTGGTGTCACCCCTCCAATGGTGTCACCCGGGTGCGGTCGGCACCACCCATGTGACACCACTGTCTGCCGGCACTGGGAAGTCCCCTCTGCCGGCACTGGGAAGTCCCCTCTGCCGGCACTGGAAAGTCCCCTCTGCCGGCACTGGGAAGTCCCCTCTGCCGGCACTGGGAAGTC